TAATTTGGTCACAGCCATGAAAAAAGTAACCAACATGCCTACTGAGGTCCTCAGACTACAACCAAAGTACCATGCGCAAGATGTAGAGGCAGCAATTCCACCCCATACCCCCTGGCTCCCTTTTGGTGGCTCTCTCCTCCACCCTCCCGCTTTTCCCTGAAGCAGCTAGTCCCTGCTCCCTGCTCATAGCTGTCCTTTGTGGGCTCGGGAGAAGAGGAATGAGAACAATGAGACATGGCAGCTAAAGAGCTTCCGCTCAAACCAACCGTTCAGGTCCCTGTACCCCCTTTAGAAACCGCTGTTTCCTCAACATGACCCCACATGTGCCTGGAGAGTCTTCTGGGGACCTCAGCTGACCCAGTGCCTCAGTTTCCCCTAGTGTCATGTTGGGTCAAGGCAACATCCCACCCCTCCTGGCTTTGCTAAGGTCAGGGAGGAAATGGTTCCTGGGATATCAAGGGGCAGGTGGAAGGCCTGAGCTCAGGGTTCCCGGCGCAACAACAGGCAGACATTGTTCTGGTCTGTAACTCTCCTTTCTCTAGGCTGGACTCGCCCTCAACACACGAAAGCCATGGTTGTATCATCAGCCAGCCCGTGTCAGCCCTACCAGGGCTCTAAACACCAGGGTCTTTTTCTAATCCTCCCACCCTCCACCCACCTCTTGTTCTTTCAGGAACAAACCCTTACCAGACTTCCCAAATTCAGAGGAGAGAAAAGAAAGGGCTGCTTCCATTTTGATTGTGGATGAAAATAAACCAATTGTAACTTTCTTACTCAAAATTGGATTGGTAAATGAACTGGTCCTGGGCTGAATTTGACTGTTAAAAGACAAATGTGAAATTGCTTCTGAGGTGTTTTTGGAAATTCACGGACGGTGGCCAGGAGACACGCTGCTGAGCTGTGGTTATTGGCACGGTGATTCAAAGCGGGAAATTCCTTACATAACTGGGAGCAAAGACTCCAGCTCCTCCCTAGGCTCTCTGTTCCCAGACTGCTACCCACTGGGTATGACCGAGGCTGCCTGTCCACTTACTGTAAGTCACAGCAAATGTTCATGCTGATTCTTCCGGGCCAGAGTTTAGGGGGGAAGATAAGAGAGACACTAACCACTCTCTCCAAAGTTTGCATGTGTCTTCTTCTATCTAAGTAACGCTGCCAATGAGCAACCAAGATATTCTCTCCTGGGAACTTGCCATTCTAAAATAATCCTTCTGGTATCATACCCACCCTCACTTTCCACCTCTTTGACCTCTAACACACACACACACACACAGAGAGAGAGAGAGAGAGAGAGAGAGAAAGAGTCAGAGACAGAGACAGAGAGACAGAGTCAGGGTAGGCTAGCTGCTACAACAAACACCCCCAACACCTCAGAGAATTAGCACAATGAAAGTTTCACATTCGCTCACATTTAATATCTGCTGATCTTGCCAAACTTGGCCATTACTAGAAAGGTTTTTTTTGGGGGGGGGGGAAGGTTGGTTTGTTTGTTTTCTAAATCACATTTCTTGCTTTCTAAGTCACAATTCTTTGGGGACGAGGAGCTTGACATTTCTATGGAACCAAGAAGCTCTTCTTCACAGTTTGGAACATAAAGAACTGATCCCAGAGTACTTCGTGTGAGCCCCACAAAGTTGGCAAACCTGATCCAAAGTGCTCATCCAGCCCAGGCATTGGTGGGACTAACCCTTACTCTCTTGACATGCTGCTCTGGCAAGCAGAACTTCCAGCAACAGTGAGGTGTTGCAGTCTCTCACATAGACATGGGAGCTGAATTGTCCAAAGGCCTTGTGCACCTGGCAGAGAATACTCTACCCACATGGGCAGACAACATTCTGGCATGGCCTGGAATACACCTGTGTGTAACTGAGTCAGGGACCATGGCGGTCCTAGAGGCTGGATGACTCGTCTGCATTGGAGGTTGGTACTTGGTGACTTCAGCCGTGCCTCTGCGGTCAGACCAGGTTACCTCACTGATGGGTTTCAAATAGAATCCAGAGATGCTGGCTGCGTAGACAAAAAAGGAGGATTCAGTAGACTCAGACTCCGGGTTCCAAGCCAGTAGTTGGCAGCTAGTACAGGCATTCTCACTGTTCAAAGCGTGTGGCTGCTTCCTTACATTCATCTGCTCGTTCATTCAGCACTTCCCCTACAGACTGAATGGGTCCATTCATCCTGTCCATCAACCCTTCCCTTGGCTATGCCTCTCTGTGTCCAGGTGGCTGACTTCTGTAGACCACGCCACCAAGCTCTCTTGCCTTTGGGCGGCCAGATGGATCAGGATATTGGGAGGCAAGAGGTGGAAGTTGAAAAACAAGAGCCCAGAGAGGGACAGCAGGAGAATAGCAAGACCGAAGGTTGCCCAGCTTCAGAGCCAATCAGAAAACATCCAGGGAGCTCTGTTCCCATGGGGTCCTTTGGACAACATCTTGCATGTTTACAAAATAAACTCTATGAGAAAACAGGTACCAGAAACCGGCAAGTATCAGAATCGGGAGGACTAACTTCCTGAGATGCGATCATGTGCTGGGCCAGCTCTTAAAGGACACCAAGAGCCCACTGCTAGCATTTCAGAACCTTGCTTGCTGCTTTGTAAACCATTTGGTAACTTCAGATTAGCTTTGGTGGGAGTATTTTCACCAAAGAAATTGGCAAGCCACTTAGGGCTTCTACCCACTCCCTGAGAACTGGTTGACCAACCCTCCACTTAAGGGTTCTCAAAACAGAAGGCTGTGAGGCAGGCTAGGGGATTCATTTTGCAAGCAGAATCTTATAGACCCGGGCTGAAACCCCAGCTCCCCTAACAGGTGACCTTAGGCAGATTCCTTGACCCCTCTGAGCCTGTTTCTTCAAGGGTACATAGTACCTAGGCATGGAACACTTAGTCTCTATAGCAGGTATTGGCCTCAGGGCTTACACACATTCATTCATAGACTCCTAGAAGCAATACCTGGAAAGGAAACTTTCCGTCCCCCTCTTCCACAGAGTGGGATATGGAGGCAAAGGCAGACAGGACTACCCTAAGATCTCATAGTGACGGGCAGAGTCACAAGAGCAAACAGCCTGACTGGAGAGCCCAGTCTGGCTTCCAGCTCTGCACTGCCTCATCTGGTGGTCACCGGCCACCTCACACTACAGAGGACTTCAGTTTGGTTAACTGAAATTGAAGAATGTGATATGGGACACATAGAAGACATTTCAGAGATTTTTGTACTCTGTGTGTGTGCGTGCGTGTGTGCACATTTAATGCCTTGTTAAAACTGTATTGATTATATGTAGAAATGATACTTGGATATGGTAAATTAAATAAGTAGAACTAGATTTATTACATCTTTTTTTGTCTTTAAGGAGGCTGATAGAATTCGTAATTGCATCTGGGTCTGGTGTGTCTGCGAGGAGTGCTGCCCCCATCGCCTGTTGTAAGCATTGACCTGTTAGCACAGGCCTAGCATGGAACCCCAAACACACTAAACACTGAGAGGCATTATTCATATTAGTGACATCAGTGTCTTTCACCATAAAGCAGGGAGCTCTGGAGGAAGTAAGGGAGACCTCATGGTGTCCTCTCTGGTAGCCTGATCACTATCTCCACAGGCTAGAGAACCCCAAAGGTAGAAGATCCTTTGAAGTTTGTCAAGCTTTAGTGTTCTCCTCTGGGGGTCAGAGGAGGTGGGGAAGGACATGGTTAAGGCATGTCTACAGCAGTACTTTCATGTGCCTGTACATGTTTGGGGGGCAAGTGAGCATGCACACGTGCACACGTGTGAGATCCATGTCAGGTATCTTGAGCACATCTGAGACACCAAACCTGGAGCTCACCAATCCGGGTAGTCTGGCTGGTGAGTGAGCCCCGGGGATCTCTTCTCTCTGTCTCCCCAGCTCTGAGGCTGCAGACATGTTCAGCTGCACCTATTTACTTCATGGGGACGGGGGATCAAACTCAGGTCCTCTTGCTGACACAGCAAGTGCTTTATCCGCTGAGCCAAATCCCCGATATTTTTTAAGTGATCATGGGAAAACACTCCCATTTTGAGAGAAATTAAATGGCTTGGTCCCTGAACTGGGCACAGCACAAAGAGGTTCAGTGGCCTCAGGATCATATTGTATACGCTTGGTCCCCAGTGTTAAAGAGTAGTAGAACCTTCAAGATGCGGGGGAGGGGGGCGCTTGGTGCAAAGTAACTACATCATTGGAAATGATTAATGTAACTCTCTGGGGACCCTAATTAGTTACCTTAAAAGGTTTCTGCAAATAGACAAAGCCTGACCTTTGAAACTCTCTGGATTCCTGGATCACCAGGAAATCTCTTCCATACTAACATTCCCCGTTGGGTTGTCTTCTGCCATCAGATCCTAACCAGAGCTATGCAGAAGCTGGTGTCAGGCTCTTGGCTCTCCAAAAGAATAAGCTAAATCGACAACTTTTCTTTACAAATCATCGAGCCTCAGGCATTTTACTATAGCAATGGAAAGCACCCACTGCAAGCATCATGGCTGGGAATGGGAGCTCTCCCTCAGCCTCCCGTGTAATCATCTGCGTCGCTTCACAAGGCAATACTTGTTTTCCATGCCAGCTGTCCAGTTATGCCCCTCACTCACATCCTGCCCACTCCCCACCTACCCAGGACCTAGGAAAGGTTCCGGACCCCAAGATCCACAGGTCTGTCTCCAGGGAAGCGTAGCAGAGACACTCCACCCCAGTACTACAGGGACTGTGTTGTCGCACAGTCAACTCTGAGCTTCACCAGCCCCACTGTCTGGCAGGCAATCTGCCAGCTCCTCTTCCAGCCCTCAGTCCTGGCTCTGAAGTAGTATGTGTGGACAGGGGTGGCGGGGCAGTGGGGGGGGTGGCAGGGTGGAGGGGTGAACAGCCAACTTTTTGCCGGGCTCTCTAACAAGTTCCGCGGGTCTGTTTGTTAAAGAAAAATTCCAGTGGGCGCATCCAACACATGGAACTCAAGTACAGAAATTATATTTATCCAGTCCACTGCCAAAGAGATCACATGCCCTGTGAGTCACTCCAGATGTGCTCAAAAACAGAGCCTCTGTGTGGAAGCCCGGTCCCCCAATCCCAGAGAGACTTAGGTTAGGAGAGGTACCAACTTCTGTCCCACCCAAGAGGCAGCATCTGCCTCCACCCTGTGGACCCAGGGAGAGGCCCTTGCTGTCCTTCTAGACAAGAAAGGCCAGTGAGAACTCTGTCGTTCCACAAAGAAGAACTCAGGGGCCCCCTGTAGCTCCTGGGGTCCCACGGGGATTAGAGGGTCAATTTTTCTGCCTTCCGGAAGATGCCCTGGAAGGCCTTGATGCTGTTTCTGCTGTTCTCCAGCACCCAGGATACTGAGTCCCGCAGGTGGAGCAGGGGTGAGTGGTGTTTATTCTTGCTTTCTCTGGTGCTCATTCATCTCTCTTGAATAGGATTGTGGCTATGGAGTGGAGGTAGAAGGAGGGAGGAATCAGAAGCCCTGTTACCACTTTGTAAACTATCTTTGCCAGTGCTCTATGCATCCTGGCATGCCTCTTCGTGGTAAAAGTGATGGGGGAAAAAAGACAGTGGAAAAACATCAAAGCAGCCGATTCGGGACCCTGGTGGAGGTTGTGAACCATGGGGTCGCCCCTGCTGCTGAGCCAGAAAGAATGCTTGATTGCTTCAGAGAATGGAGACAGGTCCTCCCCAGATCCCTGTGAGGACTTCTTGGACCCCTGGGAGCAGAACACAGAGGCAAGTTCAGCTGCCTGTGTGACGGAACAGTGGCCTTGAGATGAAGGAGGCTGCTACCTGAGGGACTTAAAGCAGAGTTCCTGGTCACGCTGGCCAGGAATGAGGTCTCCAGGCTGCCATGAATGCATTTTTGCAGCCAGGTCAAGCTGCTGGGTGGCAGGTAAGAACAAAAGAGGCTTTGTGAGCACCCTCGCAGGGTGTTTGGCTCCTGCCACCTTGATCCCGTCACCCCGGAAACAACAGGATCGGTGCAGAAGTTTTCTTCTCATGCTGACACCTTCTCTCTCGGGATGCCACTTCTCGGAAGCAGGATGGCATCTTTGCACCCTGGGACTGGCTGTGCTCGGCAGGCACTGGGAGCGTATCAAGCCAGCTCATTTATCGCTATGGGGAAACAACGAGCCGGGAGTGCTACACACCCCATGCCAGTTTGAAGGGAAATCTTTGGACCGCCTGAAGTCAGCTGAGTTCACGTACCCAGGAAGATCTGGGAAAACCGAGTTCCCTCAGATCAACCCAGAAGCTCTTTACAGAGACCCTAAGTGGGATGAGGATTGGCATGGTGACAGGGATGTGCCCTTCATTCCCCAATATAATGTCGGGGAAACAAAGAGAGGCCCGTGCTGCAGCATCTGCAATGGAAGAGAGGGAGCCAGGACACTTACCTTTTATTTTATCCTCCTCCTTATCATCATCATGATCATGATCATTATTATTATTATTATTATTATTATTATTATTATTATTATTATTATTATTGACTGGCCAGGCCTCTGAATAGAGCCAGGGAGTGAGTATTGCTGAGATGTAAATAACACAGACTTTTCTCACACACACACACACACACACACACACACACACACGCCCTGCCTGCTCATCGTGTGCGCAGTCACACTTGGGGATGGAAAGCAGAGAGATCTTAGAACTGGATTCTGTCACTGACTCTTGTCACACCAGGAGTACAAGTCAACTTGCCTATTCAAAGGAGACAAAAGCATCTACTCTTCTGAAAGCATAGACTGTCCAGAAGCCAGGACGTGTGACAAGGCTCATAAACATGCCTGCTGCCTTGGGAGCACTCCTGCAAGGACCCGGAGATTTCAGCTCTGCCTCCAAGAAGCTGGCTGAAGGATCTCCGGCAGGCCCCTAACTTCCCTGGATGCTGTTAGCAGGTAGCATCTTAACATCCGCAAAGCTTGCCTTCACGGGGTTGATTTGAGGGACGTATTCAAAGATATGCTTCGAAAAAGATGAAGCACTAAGTGTCAGTGGCTATAGCACTTAAAAAACATTATTCGTTAAGAAAAAAGTTGAGGCTCTCAACAGAGGTTTGCTAGTAATATCTGAGGCTCTTTGGCGAAGGCTTTCCCAGCAGGGCCTCAGGCTCTGTCTATAAAGGATCAAGGCCAACAAAAATGACCAAAAGGCCATTATGGGACAATGATTTGAAGGGCTAAATTTATGGCTCAAGACTGTGTTCAGAAGCAACAAATGGTGTGGAGTCCTTCCAAGTTTCATCAAAACTCTTCCACGTAGTTGGCTTTTATTTTTCCTGTCTTGAATATTTTTTTTCTAATTGCAAAAGGACATAGTCCTTGTGGCTTTTAAGTGAGCTCAGTTAAGAAGAGTGCTTCCCATGAGAACCTGGGTTACCCCAGACTCCATGTAGAAAAGATGGGGGTGGCCACCTGTGCTTGCAGTCCTAGCACTGCAGAGACCAAGGCAGAAGGAACCCACCTGCCCAAGCTAACTGGTGAGCTCCAGGCCAATGAGACACACTGAAGTGTTCCTGGGGGTGGCATTCTCAAGGCTGTCCTCTCTCTCTCTCTCTCTCTCTCTCTCTCTCTCTCTCACACACACACACACACACACACACACACTATAACAAATCATGGTGCCGACAGACACTGTCCCTTTTAAGCCATCTTACTCCATCTGAGAACTGCCACCCGGCTATCAATGCATTCCTTAAAAAGAGTTTGAGGGAAGCCCTCCTTATTAGACTGTCTACCTCCATCCTTGCCCCCACGCCACCACCACACCCCTCCATACACCCCACTCTCTCTATGCAAAGAAACCCACGAGGAGTTTGCCCACTACCAAGGTGCCTTCTTCCCCTTCTCCTTCTCTCTTCATAAGAAATGTTCTCTAGGATTCCCTCAGCATCGGAGATTCCACAGCGAGATCCAGGACAGCCCGTTCCCTCCCTACCAGCGTGGTGAAGCAGTGACTCACCTATGGTGACTGTGGTTAGCAGGGCCAACTTGAGGACACTGACCTACACACACACACTCCACATCCTAGCATCTTGTCAGAGGATTACTTGAAGGGAGAGGACTTCTCTTCAAATCTTTAAAAAGCTGTAAAATCAATACATAATAACCAGTTACCATTGCTATGTTATTTTTAAGTACATATAAATTATTTCTATTTTCTTGCATGTATTTGGATAGATAGATAGATAGATAGATAGATAGATAGATAGATAGATAGATAGATCCATGTACATGTGCACCACTGTGCACTTGTGGAGGTCAGAGGACAACTTGTAGAAGTCAATTCTCTCCTTCCACGTTGTGAATCCTAGGGACTGGACTCAGGTTTTCACGCTTGATGTCAGTGCTTTAACTGCTGAGCCATCACGCCACCTCCTAAAGTATTTATTTATGAAGCAGTTTGGTAAGGAAGACAGCCCCGAGGGTTAGTGGAATCTCACTTTCAGGTGGGTGTGTCCTTGCTCTTGGATGCCTGGTTAGGTAAGGGCAATGAGTGGCAGGAGTTGATGCTGATCACTGCAGCATCGATCGCCTACCACTCCCTGCAGGTAAATGTTTGCAGGTAAGGGAAGTAGAAGGTCCGGGCAAGGAGGGACAAGCCCCGAATCACTCTGCTAGAGGCTGAGAGGATGGGACTTCGTGACTATCTGAGATCACTCCCACGACCCTGTTCACTTGCCATCATTCCATCCCCCTGTTGCGGAGCTTTCTAGTCAAGACAGCTCCCCTCCAACGCTGTCCCACAGGAACCTGGCACAGAGGCTATGACTGTGGCTTTCTCTGAACAGCACCAATTTTCCAAAAGGCTGGTCCAGGAGCCAAAAAGCGAACGACATCAGAATCTGGCAGGAGATCTTTCATGAGCAAGAACATTTCCCTTCCACACCCAGAGCTGCTTCAAGGATTCATTCACAGTGGGGCTGTGCTTAGACTCGGCGTGGATTGCAGCCTGCAGCCTTTCCAGCAAGTTCTTTGGTGCAAATGTATAACTGAGTGGACCCCAAGGGAGCACTGTACACACAGGAATGGAAGCAGGAAGGCAGAAAAGACTTTTGAACCAGGATTATGACAAGTCAGAGGTCAGACCCCACCATGAGCCAGCTTCCTCCTCAGGCGCCTTCTGGCTGCACTCTATGCCCCAAAGTCTGCACAGGACAAAGCATGGAAAGATAGCAACTGCCTTACCAGAGATAAATGCAGTCAGCTCCTTCTGAGCTGGAGCGGGGACTCAGAAGAGATAAGGGGAAGGAGTGTGCAGACCAAAGTCAACTCTTCTTCTTAGCTAAGACCAGACCCGAAACTGCAAACGATGAGAGAATCACTCTCTTGCAGAGAGGTTTTGTAGAGCACTCTGAAAAGAGCCGAGCTCAGTAGCAGAGTGGGCAGTGTGTCTCTATATGGTATCATTTATCCAGTCAACAAATAGTAATGGGCCAAGGCTAGGTACTAGGAATACAGTAATGAGCAACACAGACAGGTTCCATTCCCTCATGGAGCTGACATTCGTGGGGGGGGGGGGGGAACAAGCACGTGAATTAAAAAAAGATAACTGTGATTTGATGGACGTCAATAAAGTAAGGACAGAGGCTAGTGTGCAAAGGCTTATCATCCTAAATGTGAGCTTCACAGAAGGCCCCTTTGAAAGAAAACCACAAACAGCCTGAGGAGGAAAAGTGGGAGTCTTGCAACCTTGGTGGAGCTTGGGGGCCGGTATTTCAGGCAGGAGAAACAGATATACACAAGCTTTGAGATAAAACCTTGGCAGAAGTGCTTAGAAACAATGAGTTTGTTTGTGGCCAGAGTTTCATGGGGGGGGGGGGGGGGGGATGCAGGGTAACTGGGAGATATTAGCCCCAAGCCAAAGGTAAGGAAAAAGAGCGCTTAAATCCCCAAAGGAAGTTCCAGGAAAAGAAGAGTCTGCCTAGAAACCTAAAAGCTGAACATCAGTCCAGCAGTCACTCTGGCCGGGAGATGGGTGAAAACACAAGAAACCAGCACTTTGCTTTGCTAGTAGGCTGGGGAGAAGAGGCACCTGGGGCCAGGGGGAGGTAGAAACACATGGAAGACACAGCCATGTGTTTATGGAGCCCTATAAGATCCAGCAGAAAAAAAGAGAAACTGAATCGCTGGATCTGTCTTCACAGAGGCTGCGTGCACACATGAAGAATGTGACTCACTAGGCCGTAGAAGGTGGTGAGTGCATGCGTGTGCATGTGTGTGTGTATGTGTGTGTGTGTACAAGAATCGGTTGACTGGCATGCGGGAGGAGCTAAAGGTAGGAAGAAGTTGTCTAAGAAAGTGCGAGCATGGGAGGAGGCAGGAAACCCAGGGTCTGCTGGACAGCATCAGGGTCTAAGAGATGGGGCGACTGAGATTTTAAAATACAGCTACTTAAAAGAGCAATGTCCCCTCCAAAAACAGGCAGATGTGCAGACCTGGAAAGGTGGCAGGGGTTGAGTGATGGCTCCATGGGTGAAGGTGCTTGCCACCAAGACTCATGACCTGAGTTCCATCCCTGGGCCCCACATGATGGAAGGAGAGAATTCACTCCCATAAATTGCCTTCTGACTTCCTCACGTGTGCGATCCATTTAAGGACACGTCTTATGCCAGACACATCTCTCCCATGACTAGTGAGAACTGAAGAACAATGGGGCTTGGGGCAAATGAGCATTGTGTGCCTGTGCCTGTGAGGTCGGGCTGTGGAGCCTGCAGGAGAGGTAACATACCCTCGGGTCTAAGTCAACCTGCAGGATAGTTATCCTACTTTCGAGTCTATCTCAAGCAAATTTGGTGGTCCCTGACTTCTGAGCATCGCCATCTCGAAAAATGAGACTTACTTCTCTGTAGACGCAGGAAAGACGCGTCCTGCTGACGGGCACCCAGCGGATACTCTAGGGTTCTTGCTTATACACAAGTGCCTTGGTTTAGTAGCTTCTGTTTGAGGTCCAACCACGTCTCTCAACAGAAGGCAAGAACGGGACTTGCTGCAACAGATGGATCACGTAGTTCTGGATCCCGCTTCTTGATCCACCCGGCATGATCAGAGCAGGTGAATCCTTTGTTCTGCACTGGTAGGTTCAATATGTCATAGACACTCATTTGCCTGTAAAGAAGGGGACAGTCTCTGCCCTCATCCCCAAGGCCAGCCTGTACTGCAGTCTTTTAAGCAAGCAGACCAGTGAGTCCCGGGGGTCCTTGAGACGGGCACAGGGAGAGACCCTCATGAGGATATGCACACTCTGGAATGATGCTCAGCGATTGGGCCCTGGGTGTGCAACACTAGGGAGAAAAGTAAGCAAGCAAATAGGCCAGGTTTACACCCCACAAAATGTGCACAAGGCGTGTGAGTCTGAGCAAAGCTTCCAGCAACCTTCTTGTCTGAGACCCAGTGGTCCAGGGAATGTGGGGCGCTCTCCCTAACACTCTCTGCTGTCTCCATTTTCTCTCCCTCTTCTCCCTTCCCTCTGGTGGGAGCAGCCAAGCCTGATAGTGGTCCAGGACTACCTCCCTGCCAAGCTTACTCTGCTACACAGTTCAGGGATGGTTCATAGTGAACAAGGGGCTAAAGGGACAGTAGCATCCATAAGTCGGGGCTGCTGCTTTATTTAGCATCCAGTTGCTCTTTTAAGTCAGTCCTATTGAGCCCAGCTTCTGAGCCTTACAGTACGCAGAGCTGAGGGAGGGAGGGAGGGAGCGGAAAACTCACTCCCTATCCCAGGAACTGGCAATCCAGAGAGTACATTCCAAGTGGGGAGATAGCAAGCCACTAAGTATGCAGAACGGACAAGAAAGCCTCAGAGGTGGATTCACATCATGGGGTGCACAGGAGAGGATTCCTGGAGAAACAGGGCTGTCACCCAGCGACGTGAGAACAAGACTCACTTCAAGTTTTGTATATGTTTCTCTCAACCCCAAGAGGTATTTTTGGCAGGATTCAGTCTTCACGATTATGGACAAGAGCAACTGGGGCCGGGCACTTGTTAAATTTCCACCTCCGTGTTCGACATTGCCTGGGGAGACAGAACTCTTTCTCACTGGCTACTCCAGCATCTCCAGGTCTTACTAAAGAGTCACATCGAAGCAGTTGGAGAGCTACTGAGATGTCAGCCTATAGGAGGCTTCACTCCAGCAGCCTAAGGACATACAGGTCTCCAATGCACAAAATCAAGTCAGCCATAGAAATATGCCAACGGATAGGCCAGTGTGGGAAATGGGAGAAGGAAAGGAAGGATCTTTAAAATACCTGTGTTCCAGCTGAATAGCTGTATTAGTGAGCGCTGGGTTTGACTGTGAGACCCTGCCTCAAAGAACAAGGTGGAGGAGCGACAGAGGAAGATTCCTGAACTCTGTTTCAGCCCTCCACTTGCATACACACATGTACAAGTGCACAGACACCCATACAAACACCACACACACGAAAAGGAAAAGCAAGATATTTGTGCACTCTTCCCACACAATCGCCATCCACGTCTGGAGGGCTGAGGCTACTTCTGATGCTCGCCACCAGTGTCATTATAGGTATGAGAATAGCAGCTGTTAGGAATGACAGTGGCCATCGTTACGCTCAGTTTTGAGTGGGAAAGTTTGTTCTCCTTGACTCTGAGAGTTAGGGGCTCCCTAAATAAAGCAAGCATGATAAAAGATGTGTCCTCAGCAAAGGGACTAAGTGAAGAATTCCAGGCCTAAAACTACAGTAACTTCCTTGGGGAGCTCTTGGGGAGCCGTTGGGGAGCCCATGATGACAGGGAAGAGAGAGCCTCAGGCTATGACATTGCTGCCTTCTCCCTCCATCTGCAAGGGGGTGGATATTTTAATGAGACTGACACACTGCCTACAGAACTCACAAGGCATTTAAAGGTAGATATTTTAAATTTTCCAGTAGAAAAGAGGTGCTGGGGCTAGAAAAACAGTGGTTCAGTAATGAAGAACGTTGATTATTCTATCCTAAAACCTGGGTTTGATCGCCAGCACTCACACTGTGCCTCCCACATCAGCCTGTGGTTCCAGCTCCAGGAAATCCAAAGCCCTCTGCTTGCTTCCTTGGATGCTGAATGCATGTGGTATACACAAAGACAAGCAGGCACGCACATACTCTAAATAAAATACATAAATACTTTTTTTAAAAAAAAAGATATGGCAGACGACATGGAAGAATTAAGAGAGAGATGACAAGGACACCTCCTTTGTGAGGACTAGCTCTCACTGCAGCAGAGGACCTATGCAAGCTGCCAAAGGAGAAAACCAATCAACAGTTGTACCCAACTATGGACAATAACAAGGGCTAGAATGGCAAGATATTCCTAGAGATAAAATAGCGGTACTTCTGTCTTGGCTGTAACCAACAGCCATCTAATTTGACTTACCGTCTGCTCAGAGGGAGGAATTCACGCCTGCTGCTTGTGACTGGTGAGGCCATGGACCCTAGAAGAAACCCTACTACTGACACCACACTAAATCAGTATAGTTTCTAACTGTACTCTAAATTCTTACCCTCATCCCCACAGATAAGTGTAGCTCTCAGCCCACATAAAGAAGCTTCTGTCTGTAGCAGATAGAAGCCATTACAGAACATCACAACTGACCAAAATGCAGAGAACAACTAACCATGGGGCTCCTGGCCCAAACTGAGAGATATATAACACAGCCCCTTCACCTAAGGCTCGAGAAACATCTCAGAAGAGGGCACAGAAAGATTCTGAGAACCAGAGGACCAGGATAGGACATCTGCTGTGAGACAGAGTCTTCTATATGTGACGGAAACTGTACCCAGGAAGTCTCAACAATGTGGTGGCCTAAATAAGACCTTAAAAATGACAACGCACAGGCCTAGAGAGGTGGCTCAGCAGTTAAGAGCACTTTCTGCTCTTCCAAAGGACCTGGGTTCAATTCCAAGCACCCACATGGCAGCTCACAACAGTCTGTAGTTCCAGTTCCAGGGGATCCTACATACTCACACAGACATACATGCAAGCAAAACACCAATGCGCATGAAATAAAAGTAAATAATTATTTTAAAAATCACAAGGCCTTTGTTTTAAAAACAAACAAACAAAAAAGACAACAAAATGGACATGTCAACATGGATGGGGAATTCTCACAAGGCTCCACCCATACAAGAAGAACTCAGGCAATTGGTGGTTGCTGGGAGAGGGAGAATCAGTCTTCTCCAGGGATGAGACCGCTCTGGGAGGTTAGTAAATCTCAGGAGATAAACCCTAAATATTATGAACAACACTAAAGGAACTCACCAGGTTGTGCTTATTAATTTATATGCATACATATATATGTATATATACATATATATCACTTATAATTAAAGATTAGAGACCATGAATTTGAGAAGGAGCTGGAAGGAACATGGGAGGAGTTGGAGGGAGAGAAGAAAAAGAAGTGTTGATGTAAATACAGTGCTCATATAAAATTCTCAAAAACTAAGTTTAAAAAAATAAAGATGTTCTGGGAGAATTGGGGAGTGAAGTTTCCCTCTGGTCCTAGCGTGAGTCCGTCTCCTCCATGTTTTCACACATGTGTAAAATAGAAGTTCATAAAGGGGCAGTGGGAGATGGTCAGACGGTGAGGTGCTTGCTGTGCAAGCATGGGAACTCAAGTTCGAATTCTTAGCACCCATGTAAAGGCCAGGCATGGCAGCAGGAACATGGAGCCCCAGAGCTGTGGGGTGGGGACAGCAGGATCCCTGGGGCTCCCTGACCAGCCAATCAAGCTAAAACCGAAGCCCCAGATTCAGTGAGAGGCCCTGTCTCAAAATACGAAGGTCAAGATGTGACTAAGGAAGACATCCAAATGCCAACCCCAAGCCCCTACAAACAAGTGCACCATCATATGTGTGTACACACACGCACACACACAAACACACAGAAATGGCTCGCTCCTTGACCTACGCCAAGTACCCATGTTTCCTTCCCTATGAAGAAGACAGAGACCGAGCCCGCATACTGCCAGGACCCTCACTTGTGACTTCCAGGCTCAAATAGGCATGTAGAAGCACAAATCCCATTCACCCCAGTCCTGAGGAACTGGTGACAATGGTCACGAATGAACTACTACAAAGGCCACTTCAGCGAAGCTTTGTATGGGAAGCCAGAGATTTCAACAGTAGACTTTTTAGGAAGGGCCTTTTTAGCTGAAATCCTCATGTATCATGTCTGATGGAAATCACTCTGGAATGCCTTACACTACTCTGCCCTCTTTAGCACATTTTATATAACTTAGTGCCCTGGACACAATCGAACATTTTACTGGTGGCTCGGGGACACAACATATAGCAGGGCAGCCACCAAGGGCTGTGTCGAGTATAATCGCACAGCTCCAGAGGGCCACCCTCACAGCCCTCTGGTTTCTACATTCCTCTCTCTGGGTTTCTAAAGGTCACAACTGTTGTCTACCCACAGGCTTGTCAATCATTCGTGGCCGGTGTCTGCTGCATCAAGGGGCTGAGCAGGTGGCAGGGGCTGTCGGATCCAGTCCTGAAGACCTGGGGTTTCCATAATCATCCTGTTCAACCATTTTCTGCTTTTTTCCTTCACGCCTCCCTCAGTTCCTAGTGCTTCCGATCCTGCAGCCCATCAGGAACCCACCCAGCTTCCTCCAGCTTCCAAATGTGTCCCTGGCCTTGACTATGCAGTAAATGCTCCATTAAATTGGCTGGCCCTTGTGGGAAACTCGGCCACATGGTCCCGTCGAGCCCAGTGTCAAGGTCTTGCTGCAGCCTGCTTCCTTTCCTTTGTCATCTGCATAAGGACCCGCGGCACTTCCCCTTCAGATGCCTGGGTTAGCCAGAGTCTCTGATGATAAGGTTGCAGGGCAGCACTTATAGACTGACTGCTTTGAGCGCTCAGGTATGCAGTGTGTGAGGCAATAATTTTGGGGTCTTCCTTGTGGGATTAGGGAATTCTCATTTTCTCACTTTTTTCTATTTTGCCTCATCTGTTTGGTTTTAACCTAATTTCCTAGTACAAACACAGCCCGAGCAGATAGATGTTTTCCAGTTTCTTGGCTGCTTCTGATGAGCTGCTAGTCTGGCGCATCTGGGAGCTCTCTGAGACACGGGAAGAAACCTGTCACCTCCCCGCACTCACGTCCACCCACTTTCAGGATATACTTGAGGGCTTCCCTCAAGGTGGAGTAGAGGTGGCCATGTGCCTGCCAGTCCCACAAGTCAGTCTCTTGTCTCTTGTAGCTGCGCTGTTCCCTGCTGCCCACCGGCCAAAGAGGTCCTTGTCATTGCCGTTGAACCCAGTCCTGCAGACCTCCCTGGAGGATGTGGAACTCCTCTACGAGGTAAGCAGAGGGAAAGTCATCGACCCAAGTCACCCAAAGACACGCATGTCCTCTCTTTCTCTGAGAAGAGGTCCGCCTGGGCCCGTGGAGTTGAGGCAGGGAATGGCCTAACCTCATTCCTGGAGGTGATAAGTGAGGGACTCCTGGGACCACTTTACCTTTTCCATGTGTCCTGACAGAAATGCCAGTGTTCAGAGTTCAGTCCAGGCATAAGGAAAGGTAGGGTTTGTCCCATACCCATAGGTAACACAGTCACACCCAGGCATTGACTGGAAGGTCCCAAGCAAAAACTTTAGGCATCACACATCAGGAGTGTCCTGGCAAAGCCACACTGGGACCCAGGCACTGTCACATCTCTGAGGCTTTGCCTGCTGTACAGAGATGCTGGATGGCTGCTCCACAAACTCACCTAAGTTTCCGGAAGCCTATACTCCCGGACAGGCTTCCTTCTTCCATTTATACCTGCTTCCCTGATAGCCCACTCCTCAAAACCACCAGGTGCGTTTCTTGAGGTCTCTTGGTTCAGATCAGTGCCAGGAGCTTTAACTTCAAAGTCTGAACTTGAGTCCATTGACAAAGAGTCTCTGACCCTGATTCTCAACTATTACAAGAAGTTTAAGTGTGAGACCCCAAATTCCCTTCCAGCTTTGACACTTATGACACGGTGAAGTCAGGGAGGAGATTTCAAACACTGTGCTGGGCAGCAAACTGCCATGTATGGCCTCTACTAAGCCTTAAAAGTGGGATTCACAAATCAATGGTTCAGGAGACAATAGTTTCATGGGCAGCAGAGGAGGGCAGAGGGACAACAGGGAGTGTCATGGGCAGCAGAGGAGGGCGGAGGGAAAGAAGGACATTTAGAATTTGGAGGCTTTCCATTCCTGGAGTATTTACTAGGTTCCTTGTGGAACAGGGCAGGGATGAAGATGATAGATACAGCCCCTATTCTTGCAAGCCAGTGAGATAGGACATCTCTGTATTCCAATACCCCCAGCACAACCCTCTGCATTCTTGAAATTCCCAGCTTCTGGTTACAATTTTATCTGTGGTGGTCAGTTTATACTTCAGAAGACCTGGGTAAAAGGGGAAGAGAAGATGGGATCAGCCAACTAAATGAGGGCATTGTAGTTGAGACCAGGCACGATGTCACATTTGCCCAAATCTGTTCTGCATATTTCTCATGCTGCCCCAATGGAGCACACACTGTAACTGGTCATTTTACAGAAAAGAAAGTTGAGGCCCAGAGGAGTTAAGAAGGAAGATCAGAGCTGGGCCCAGGTTCCTTGGATTCTACGCTTCTCTTATGGCTGCCTCTCTACATGTGACTAGTGACCCTCACTCTGTCCTTGACAATACCTGGCTTCATGGTTTTCCGTATCCCATTTTTCTCCACAGCTCTTGCTGGCTGAAATGGAGATCAGCCCAGGCCTGAAGATCTCCATCAAGGATGAGGAACTAGCCTCCCTGAGGAAGGCCTTGAACTTCCACTCCATCTGCAATAATATAATCCCCAAGCACATCCCAGATATCCGCAGGCTGAGCGTCAACCTGGCCAACCACCCTGGAATCCTCAAGAAAGAAGATTTTGAAAGGACAGCACTGACCCTGGCTTACACAGCCTATAGAACAGCTTTGTCTGAAGGGCATCAGAAGGACGTCTGGGCTCAGGCCCTCATTAGCCTTTTCCAGGCCCTGAGGCATGACTTGATGAGGTCCTTGGGCCCTGGAGTGTCTTCCTGAGAGCCTGGTGGCCCATACCAGGACCTTGAAGCATGGGCAGGCACACACAGTCTTCCAGGATATTCATCCTTTACTCTACTTACAGAGTCCATGAAGAAAGTTTGTACTGCCCACACAGAATAGCAAAGATAAATGAGTCGTCCCAATACTCTTTTGTTTCTTGTTGCTTCCTGACATATATCTCTGACCTATAATATAATGTTATCTGAGCTAAAAGAAAGAACTAGATTGAGCTTTCAGGATACCTCCAGAGGCCAACTGGTCTACCTGGTAATAAGCAGAAATCTAAGATATACTTACCCCCACACACAAGAGCAAGAACTGAGGATGGGGTCTGGACATGACAGGAAAATAGTGGACAGAATTTGTTGGTTCTATGGGACCTGTGCTTAATGAACATTTCTGGCAGGTTCTATGGTAAATATTTAAAAAGTAGAGATACATTCAAATAAACACACTGTTGTCTAAGAAGGATATACTTGGTTTTCCTCAAAGTCATGGAGAAGAATCAGTCAGAAAATCAGTAATGTGGTGACCTACATGGCTTGAAGATAGTTATTCTGAGACAGGAGAAATAGGAAGGCCATGGACGTACTAATAGTCCATTCATGCCCTGTCATTTGAAAATGGAAGCCAAGCTAAAGCACATAATGTCCTCTTAATGAAAGAGGTGGCACCACATGCTTGTCTGTCCTAAAATACTATAGTATTGTCAGAGATTTTGGTGCTCCTGATAAAAATCACTTTCAGATGACAGATTGTCTATTTTCAAATGCTGAACTTTTAGTTTTCAAAATGTTGGGTCAATATCTATTATTTATATTAAATAATTACTGGTTGATACTTAAACTATACGTATGCAATGTCTTTGGCCCTTGTTTGATATTTAAATTATTTAGGACATTCTAACAAAGGAGGCGGACAGCTCTCAGGTCCCTTCTATTCATGAAATGACTGCAGTCATCTAACAGCTGTGAGGTTCTACAGGGAGCTTCCTGTGTCTGTGGAGTCCCCGCTCCAGCTCACACACGAGATTCAGGGAAGCGCTGTCCATCCTGTGTGGGATTCTGGGTTCTCCACTGTCCCCTCACATCCAGGTCATTAAAGTCCACTTTTCATTGTTACCCATACACTTGCCCCTTCAGCTATCCTTCTTGAGTGGCCTGGCCCTAAACAAGCCAGACTTGTTAACATTCTGGGCTGAGGTCATAGGCGATGACCCGTGTCGGGGAGTGAAGCACCCGTGTTCTGGAAGGCTTTGCCCCAGCACAGAAATCTAGTTTCTTTCTCCTTCTGGGCTCCAGCTGGATTCTGGGGTCTATACTGCAGAAAGTCGGATATTTGAGTGCGGGCATCTGCTGGGTGTCATTGTGGAAAAGGTATTTTACAGTTGCCACTTAAGCACAATGAGTTTGGACTTCCCAAATCTTCTAGGTGAGTTTTGCCTGCATGTTCTAGCTACACGATCTCTCTGCAGAAGGCCTAAAGAGCCAGAAGAAGGTGCCACACTAGAACAAGCATGGCATTTCATCTTCAAATTCACCTGCTCAGGCAGTAACCATTGGTCCTGCTCTTTCTCACACGAGTATTCTCTTCCTAACTCCCAAACCATTTCTAACAGTGACTCTCTCTCCCTTCTTCTTCTTGCCTTTGCTCTCTCTGTGTGTGCATATGTGTGTGTGCATATGCATGTGTGCAGTGCATGTATGTGCATGTGGGGAGGCACATAGAGGCTAGAGGAGAGAGTCAGCTGTCCCACCCTAGCAGTCTCTGCTTTATTCCCTTGAGACAGGGTCTCTTACTGAACTTGGGCTAGGCTGGCTACCAGAAGCCCCAGTAATTGTCCTAATTGCTGGGGTTACTGGGGTTCATGGTCACATCTGGATTTTTACATGATTTGAACTCAAGTCTTCATCTCGCCCAGCAAATATTCTTACCCATTGAGCCATCCCCCAGCCCTGATACTGTTTTTGCTCATGCACATTACACGGTCTTTGATGTTCTGCTTGCCTCTTTCTCTAATATAGTTGGCGTCTCTGATGTTTCAACAGTTGGGTCCCGTTGTGAATATTTGGAGGGGGATAATGTCTCCAGCCTCTTCTAGTGACCCCCTTCTCCTCCCTCTCAGTATTTCACCCCACCCATACGGCTTCCTTTGTTTCATTCGGCTATAACAAAGGACAGCATGCAGACATACGTGGATTTTGCAGAGATGAACCCATAATCCGTGACCTGTGTAGTTTCCTGGATGTGAAGTGAGCAGGGGACCAGCAATATCTCAGTTCCTAGATACTGTGCAAAACCCTCAGAGTGCTTTGCTCCCGACCGGAGACTACACTAAATTCGTACCCAGGAGCTAACGGAAGATTAGGTTGGCTGCCTACCATGTTGTAAGAGCAGCAATTTGTGGGGAGGAGAACTGGAGACAGGTGAGGAGGGAAATTATTTCAAGAAATGATAAGATCAATAGTAATTCATTCACCCAACACACACACACACACACAAATTAAAAGCATTTTATATTCATACATTGGAGCCTAAATTTACATGGCAATCAACGACTGAAAAAAATTGTGAAAAGGACATGACCTTTTCAAGATAAATGAAAACTTCATTTTCAAATTAACTGATTACTTAAATCATTTTATTAAATTAATTTATATTTTCAGCCCAATCATAGTTTCTCCCTCCTCTCCTCCCAGTCCCTCCCCCTAGTCCCCACTATTTTCCCCCACTCCTTCTTTCTCTTCAGAAAAGAGCAGGCTTCCCCTGTAAATCTGCTAGCCATGGCATAGCAAGTTACAGTAAGCTTAGAAACCTCCTCTCCTATCAAGGCTGAGCTAGGAGATCTGGTAAGAGGAAGGGGTTCTAAAAGCAGGTTGCAGAGTCAGAGACAGCCCCTGCTCCCACCGTTTCCTAACTCCTATCCCACAAGAGGACCAAGCTATACACCTGTAACATTTGCTGAATGCCTAGGTCAGTCCCACGGGAGTTCTCTGGTTGATGTTCAGTCTCTGGGAGCACCTATGAACTCTGTTTAGCTGATTCTGTAGGTTTTCTTGTAGGACTCCTCTGGCTCCCCACAATTCTTCCTCCCCCTCTTCCACAGGACTCCCCGAGGTTCATCTGTTTGGCTGTGGAGCACTGCATCTGTTTCCATCCATTGCTAGGAGAAGCCTCTCTGATAATTGGCTTAGGCACCATTCTATGAGTATAGCAGAATCGTTTGGAATCATTTCGTTGGCTTTTTTTCCCCAGTCGTTTTTAGTTCTATCCCAGGTCTCTGGGCTGTCCAGCCTCTGGGTCCTGGCCCTCCAGGCAGTGCCAGGGTGGGTAACCTCTCATGGCATGGGTCTCAAGCTGAACCAATTATATGTTGATCACTCCCATAATTCTGCACCACCTTTACCCTAGTACATCTTGTAAGCAGGGCAAACTGAAGGTCAGTAGTTACATGGCTGGGTTGGGGTCCAAATTCCTCCAGTGGAAGTCTTTCCTGGAGTAACTAGATGATGATGATGATGATGATGATGATTGAGCTATATATTTTTCTCTGCTCCTCTCCCTTCCTCTCCCCTCCCCTTCTGCCCTATCCCATGGTCCTCATGCTCCCAATTTACTCAGGAGATCTTGTCTTTTTCTACTTCCCATGTACATTCGATCCATGTATGCCTCTCTTAGGGTCCTCTTTGTTGCCTAGGGAGTAACTAGATTCTTAAGCATCACTCTCGTCTGAATGAAGACAGATTAATTTTACACGCAAAAAGTTTTATAACATTGACTTCACTGATACATAGAATCAAATATTATGTTACTGTCCAACAAAATAACCCCTCCCCCAAATAATAGCCCCACACTTGGCTCAGTGAAGGACAGAGGCAACGGGGTAGAAACAGACCCTCCTGCTTTGCCTCCTTCATGCCCATTCTACGCGCGCGCCACAATCAGATTGCTCACAGAGCGCTTGCTGAGGAGAGGAGCCTGACATGGCCACACTGTCTAGAAGCTTCCTGTGCAGCTGAGATGCACACAGCCATCTGAATTTCTGGGGTCACAAGGACAAACCTGTCACCGCTGATGCTGTGTTGCTCAGTCACCTCACCTGAATCTAATGAAGGTGTCACATCTGGGATCACTCCGTCAAAGGCATGTCATCAGGTGAACTAGCATGAAACGAAATCCCAGCTAAATGACTTGGTAATGTCACCTGTTCTTCCAGCCTGTCTTAATACATTACATATCCTCCTTTCTTTGGGGTTTGCCACTGCAGCCGTGTTGATGTTTCCAAACACCCATGTGTCTGCGTGGTGCTTTCTTAGTCTTTTGGGGAGGAGTGTTATAATATGTAAGGCTCAGAAACAGGACCTCCTGCCCACTGGGCAAGTGCTCTGCTACCGAGCCACGTCAGCAACCCTCACACCGATGTGAACGTTTTCCATCTTGATGAACTGGGACTCGATGACCTTTGAACAACTCCCTTCCCATTTCTCCCCACACCTTGGCCACTGCTCCACTTCCCATGAGAGTTTGACTACTTTGTGGGGGGGGGGACCTCACACCTGTATTCTCAACATTTGGGAGACTGCTGCAGGAGGATCCCCATGAGTTGGAGGTCAACCTGGGCCACATAGTAAATTCCAAGCTATCCTGGCCTAGAGAGTAAGACTGTCTCCAAAAGCCAAAATACATAGTTTGAGAGTTTGACTATTTTAGGTGCCTTCTTCACATGGAATCTATCCAATTCTCCTTAGCACTATATTGGAAAGCACTGTCTTCATATGGGCAACTGATAGGCCAGGGGAACTCCTGGCCCTAACGTGCAACTTGCCTTGCTTCATTTTAGTCAACAGATTTCACCTATGGTGTATTACAGTTGGCCCAATGGCGTTACTAAACTCGCTGGAATCTTTGTCACCTCAGATTATGTCATGGAGGAATTTGAAGCGGCTCCTGGGTTTGACAGATGCTGATTTCTACAGCTGTTTATTATTATCCAGTCCCTCTCATCTCTGTAACCAAAACATCACAAGCATGTGGTCGTGTTTATTCTGCATTCCCAAACTGTCCCAGCTATGAGGCAAGGATGCAGAAGATGATCTAGCCCGTCTTGGACATGCAGGTAGAGATGACTCATCATAGCTCGTGCTA